TTCCTTCTAGTTCGATACTTATTACCAACGTGTACGAGACTAAAGACCTTCCAAAGCATTATCTATGAGTTATTTTTGAAGCTACTACACTATATAGTAGGACAGTCATACCAAGAGACTTGAAGAGCATAATTTTTGTGTGCCAAGAGAGTGCTTTATTACTCAATTGCTTCCTTAGCCCAAAGATTGAGTTAGCCTATTGGGAAGAGCACGGTTGCCACTTGAAAATTTTTTTCTGTACCAAAATTGGTTTAAAAAGGTACCATTTCTGTAAAAAAAGGTCCAAAATTTTTCTATTGTCTTTTTATAAGAAAATACAATTTATAAAAAATGTACAAAAAGTATAAAACAATACAATATCCACAATAAAGTTGGGTCGCCGAAAATGTACCATTTTTTGAACATGAGTACCAGAGTACCAAACGGAAAAAAAAGTACCAATTTTGGTACTAAAGTACCATAAGTGGCAACCGTGGGGAAGACTGATTGGGAAGAGTGCATTTCTAGGCTGACATCATTTGTAATGCACTTATTAGGTAATATGAATTCGAGTACATATCTATTTTAGAAAAAGTAATATCTGAACGCACTGCAGTGTTTCCGTGCCTTCGTACATTTATAAAATAACAAAATAAATAATAGGCCATTGACGTCTCAATTTTACTGATACTGAAAGAAAAGAAGATCGTCGTTCATAAACACTAAAATCGCATGAAAAACGTAAAACTCATATTAATGCTTCAAAATGTATCGAAAATTTAAGTTAGAGACTGTTAAGAGCACAAATTTATTGTTGAATATAACGGGGATTGATAAGCAAAGCTGTAGGGGACAGTGCCACCCCTAGTCTATTTATACAAAATATGAAAAATTTTACTTACTACATATTGAATGCGATAGAGTAGAGTAAAGCACTTCAATCAATGTTTTTTGTGTTAGAACTAACCGCAAAGAAACCACTTAAGCAAGATATCTGTGGGTGAATGTCACTCGTTAAAGAATAATAGGGTCAGGAACTTTACTATCTTTCTCCTAATCAAGAGCAAAGTCGGACAGTTACAGAGAATGTGACTTGAAATCACTTTCCATTCCAGATAAAAACGACAATTTTTCACTTTATAGAGAGTATTTTCTCTCAAATGGTAACACAAATCAAGATATATGGACATGTAGGTTACCAGTAATCTCAGTTCAATGCTACTTCGGAGGGAAGTGTCTGTTTAGTCAAAGAGTCAAAGAATCAGAGAATAACCTTTATTCTAGAACAAATTTAATCCTTTCCTTTTCATGATAACTTAATAAAGAAACTAGCTTGTTAAGTCAAGCATCTTTTAATATAATTTAAATTCAAATCAAATACAAATATTTTTTTTATTTGGACATTCCTGTAATATTTATTCGAGTTTTTTGAAAGGTACAAGTGACAAGTATAAAATATTATTATTAAATATAATAAAATTAAATAAAATAAATAAATAATTTATTTCTAAAAGTAAATTATACTAAAATTATTTTAAAAAAAGATTTACAAACTTTAAGATAACTTAAGTCCAATAAATCTAATATTAATAACTATATCTCCTTCGCCGATTTGTGTAATGTATAGCTAATACAGTTGCTATAACCAAAATTATAATCTGTAAAAAAAAACATTTTGATAAATATATTCTTCCAAAAAATTTCAGAAATTTTATAATATTTACATCAAATCCAATCAATCCCCATTCATTGTATTTCATTATAATCTCTTCATCGGAGAATGAGTTCTCCACTTTTGCTAAACAACCGGTAATATAAAGATTCAACGGATTTATACAATTATGATCTACACAGCAGCTAGCAGGAGGTAAACGTTGTATAGTAATATAATCCTCTGGAGAATTACGACCACAACAGGAATACTGAAATTAACGGAAATAATTTTTTATTCTTAAATAAATTTTATATGGAATTATGAGAATGTAAGCATTATTATAAGTACTTGTTTTGATAAACCCTTACAAAAATGGTCAAACTTACTGTGGTTTGAATGGTATCCATAGCTCCTGATTTTTTCAATTCCTTTTTCCAGTGATATTCCACACCTTCTAATGCATATTTCTTAAATACATCCGGTTTACTTATTAGCATAAAAACAACGACCAGAATCAGTAGTATCAGTAAAAAGACTATATACTAAAGGAAATGTATATTATTAAATGAATATACTATATATTTATATATGTATGGATATATTAAGGTGATATTCTAACTTACTGTCCATAGAATACGTGGAGACTCACGCAGTGTTCCAAAACAACCGAAAAATGATATTAAAACTAGCACGAGCCCTAAAGCAATGATGCCAATAGCATATATTTGTGGCATAGCGCCCCAACCGAGCGCTCCAAATAATATGACATATATGCCAAGAATCTGAAAAATGAAAGAATGTTAATTATTTTTTCAATAAATTACTTTATAAATAAAGAAAACTTGATTAATCACGAAATTATCTAATGTATCACTAAATTATCTAATATATTGTGTACAGTATTAATTACTTCCGCGTCTACAGAAACTATTGTATTAAGTATGATCACTTCGATCACTTACTAATTTAAAAAATGATTCAATACGTATCATTAATAATTCATTAAAATGCATAAACTTATTATTAAATACTTTTTAAGACAATGACTGCTATTTATTTGTGGGAGGAAACCAGAGTTTAGTGGTCTTTCATTTGGTAAGCCTAGTTGCATCATAAATTATCTATAAGCATACAGTATAATTCGATTATAAATTAAACGTATTTATATGGAAATGTAATAAACTCATCTCAGTAAGACATTATATCATTTATATTTATACAAATTTATTATACATATAGAAAAATAAATAGTTTACAGATATCACTTACACAAAACCTACTCATGAAAACTGAGTCATCGAACAGATCTTAGCAGTGTTCAAACCACAGACTAAATGAGTTAGAATCATTTTAAAAAGAACGTAATAATCAAAAAAAGAATGTCAAAGAACTGCTTAAAGGGCAAATAATTAATTGATAAAGAAATGTGATTCTACCTTTCTTGTTGTTTCTTGTTTAAGAAAGAAACACTTACTTCACAACAAACGTGCCATTCAAAATCTATAGAGATTTGAGAGAAAACTAGAAGCCGGTTAAGTAGTACCAATGAAAGAAATAGTTCTCTAAATCCAAATACTAAATCAGAATAATAAGTCAAACTCATAAAATCTCCAATGAAATATTTGAATCTTCTAATAATATCTATTGGTTTCGTTTTGACAGATCATTCATTGGTCGCTAAGTATACAGACCAAAAAATTGACATAGAATTATTATAACCAAAATTTTAAAACCATCAACAAAGAAGAAGAAGAAGAGACAATAAAAAAATATTTTACAATGTTCAGGCTTAGTCAAATATTTCATTGGGGAACGGACATTCCATATATAGGTCTTAAAGAACTACTCTACGCAATTAACAGCGAAAGTAAACTTTAAACATGTTTTCATAATTTTTATCTCTGAAAGTAGCTACTCAGATATTACAGTGCGTGTCAACTAGACTATGACAACCAGGATTTGGATTCAACTTTATTCTGGTTTAAAAACACGCATTATAAACATTTGAAAAAACTATATTTCAGGAATAGATCCACCATTATATTGTAAAATATGCTTTAAATTTTTTATATCTTAAAATAAAGCACCCTGTAATTTATTTTATTTTATATTATTAATTACATGAATATATAAAAAAATTTGAATTTATCAATGGATAATTTATTAAGTATTAAAGAATTAATATTAATAAATATTAGTGATTTGCATAATAAAAAAGTTAATATTGAGTAAAAATTATAAATGAAGAATAATCAAAAAATTTTAAATTAATTATACGAAATCTTCTAGAAACAAGAAAAAAATTTTGTTCTGGCTTTGCTAAAGCTTTGATACCCTACATGATTACTTAGTTAGTAGTCCATCAGAACTTACATTAAAATTAAGAGTTCATACAATATAACGATTGTATTTAAAGAAAAAAAAGATTAAAATTACAAATAAAATTATTTATATTATTAAATCTGGAGACGAGATTAATATAATTAATAATTTGTTGAAGGTAAATAAATTATAACCTAATTAATAAATCTATTAGATATATTCAAATCTTAGCCCTTTCAGTATTCAATAATGGTGTATAACATGAATTTGGATACTTAACAAATCAAAACTACAATGGCACATTGACAAAAAAATGTTGTCATATCAGAAGAGTAATACAACGGTCTCATATACTGTGTCTGAAATGATTAGCATAGAATTTTACATTATCCTTTGTTATAAACGAAATCTTATATGGCATGGGGTACCATGATCAAAAACTAATTAACTTGCAATCTTTAAATCTCGTCTTATTATAGTGATAAAATTTTGGTGGTTCTAAACAAAGTTCACTCTTATTAAATACCGAGTATCATTTCAGATGACAAGTTAAAATAAATGACTATATCGAACAATATTATCGAGCTGATAATGTATATATAAAATGAACATTCCAATGTACGAGTATATAGCATTTCATTAATACATCAATCAATCAAAAATAGCTGTATTGATGAATCTTACCTAGCTGTTTAAGACAGTATATGGATTAAATGTTCTTTAGATATTCTCTATTGTTTTACTAAAGTATTTTGCTAAAGTATATAGTAAATGTTGGATTTAGAAGTTATGCATGTAGGGTATAAAAATGAGTCTAAGCGGTGTCTTATGTTATTCTCATGTTAAAAATCTTTCAATAGTTTGCTAATTTTGAATAAAAAAAACCTCAGAAATATACGTGGCGAATAAAAACCTGCTACTTTAGTCAATTTTTTTACAATAAAATAATTTATGTTGCATAGAAGGTTCGCAGGAATTATTTTGTTAAAACAAAGATAAAAATAAATAATGTATATATTATTATTAAAATAATAATAGTAACAAATACTTAATATTACGTCTGTATTTTTATTTAGTCTTACATGTACATGTGTTACAAATATATTATAATAGAATAGGAAATAGAATACCCGAAACAGTGATATATTTATAAAAAAAAATAATATATAAGTAATATCTTTCAATGAGTATTATTAAATCATTTAAGTTCTATATATCTTGATATTTAAACAGTTATAAGATGGATTTTTTCTTGGCAAAATTCAAGGTATTTATTTCTTTTTATTTTTACAAAGCAGTGAAGTCGGCCGTTGGAAAAAATTATTTAAACTTATTTTGTTAATTGTAAACTAACACGCTCAAGCTTTGGTTAGGCTACGAATCTGCCCGCCAGTAAGCCACAAAAAGACCTATTGAAAGATCAAATATGTACTTAAAAAAATTATTTTTCTACATTCTTAAAGGCTTTTGAATATACATATTATTTAAATATTTTTATATATTTTACATTAGTTTTAATTTGCTTTTAATATTTTGGTACTATATAAAACATAGTAGTGTGGTATTTATTAAACCACACAGAATAATAAAAAAATAATAAAATATAATTTAATTATATTAACGAGCAAGTTTTTAATTTAAAGCTGAGTAATAAAAAAAGTCTAATAAAATTCATGTTTCTGTTACTAAGCGTAAAAACAATTTAGTTAAATTTTAATCACTTTTTGATTTAAATTCGAAATTCATTGATTGTTCACTAAAATACTCGTAAATATGCAGAAGACTTCCCTAATCTTTACAAATTGATATGTGATCCTATTCAGATAGCAATCCAAGGTATCTCTAACACATGGTAACTACATCGCTTATTGCCAAGGCCAATGACAGTTGTTATTTGATAGGCTAACGCACATTTCAACAGATATACTACCATATATACGTAGATACAAACATATAAAAGCATATTTAATTTAATTATATTAAATGAAAAAATAAAAAAGTAATATGTAATTTACCACAAGAATGAAAGCATAAAACACTGAGTAATATAAGCAGTACTCATTTTAAAGATGATATCATCTGCAAGGTAAGTACTGAAAAATGGTAGCACAAAGGCACCCGTACCTTTTTTATTGCCTTTCCATTGTCTCTACTCGGCAGTAATAGCACCACACATAGCTCATGTGGTTGAGGTAATGGTAATGGCAATGGTAATTGCTCGCAAACTACCATATTTACCATACTTGCAAAAATGCTAATTTTTTAATAGAAAATTATTTGGATTCACACACTCGCACGGCAATCTTAAGTAGAAGTTTTTTCTTAGTGATTTGAAAAATTAATGAACTGAAAAATTAAATAACTTAATTCTCTATTTGTAATGATGAGTTTCATTAGTATTTTTATATATAATAATTTTGTTATACAGGGTATTTTTTGCGAACGTTTCGCCTTGTTTGGAAATGATACTTTGGTTTAAGAGTTGAAAACAAGATCCCATGCGATCTAAATATATCTTTTGTCCATATTTTGATTCTTAACACTATACATGTAGGCCATATTTTTATATTACAAGACCAACTAAATGGTGAAGCCAATAGGTGGACATCCACAAATAGATGCTCAATTATTTTGATGTCCATTTCACAAAAACGACAAGCATCAGTGTATCAAACAAATTATTTAAGTGATAACGCAGGTTGCAATGAGCTGTAATCTAACCAGATAATATTCCTAAGTTTGCCGTGCTTGGAGAAAGCATTAGATACTTTCTTCTTCGGGAAGAAAAATCGTTACACTGTTAAGTTAGTGGTCTGCACATACGCCCTCTCATTTCCTCATGTGTGCACTTCCGTGACTTTATGTGAGTCCACAGAAAAGCTCTTGAAAAATTAAGTAAATATGTGCTCGACTCTTGGCTAGGCAATCAACATATTCATGGTTCTTATGCTCTGGAACCCATTTTAACACTGTAGTATTAAAGTTCTTTAATATATTAAGAAGAGTTAGGCAACCATTTACCATTTTTCGCGATTATTGCTGCTGCCTGAAAGGCTTTTAATGCTATCTTTTATTGTGGGTTCCGTTCATCTTCCTACGAAAACATTCCTTCGCACATATTTCAATGGCATTTGAGTAGATACTTATTTCAATTGATGTTTTTAATCTAGTGCCACTTATTCCTATCACTGTTCTATAGTTTATTTCCACCTATCTTTTAACCACATTTGTCGCCCCAATTTAAAAATAAAAGCATTTGTTCCTTTGACCTCATCGTCGATGATAATGACTTTGAAGTTTTCAAAGAAAATAAGTTTTATGGATAATGTGTCATCTCTCAGTAAAATAGAAATATACGAAGTAAGCTTTCTAGAAGTTTTAGACAACATTTCATATTTCCGCTTTTAAGTTCTGAAATATGTTGCTGTGATGAAACAACTAGAGAACCTTCTTTCTCTATAAGTATAGAAAACGATGGGGAATTTAAAGCCCTTGAGATATTGACACAAATAGGTTGGTTATTCATTTGTTAGATTTTTGATCACCATGCCAGCGTGACATACATGCCAATCGATTTTACTATCGAGCTGAATGTCTAATAAGTCATCCCAAAATGGAACTAAAATCCATTTCCAATATTTATAGTTACAGATTATAGTTACAAATAATGTGCAGTAAATATCGCAAGAACGCTTTACTTACCCTGTATACTTACTCTTAGTAAGAATATGGAATATGTATAACCTACACACTATAAAACATCAAGATTTTTCTTAATTTTGTTTATGATTAAATTTATATTTATGATTAAATTATATATATTTTTTTTAAGTGGTTACCGATTCTTTGATATAGATTTGATTTTGTGAAACTTTATTTGTTTTTCGTATCATACAACATGTGGATGATATTTTTCTTTTACAACCGTATTACAACATATATTTTCCTTTTCTTCTATACAAAAATTCCTGAGTTTTGTGTACAAGATTAATACGCGCATCCACTTAAATAAAAGGAATGGAAATATTTAGGCAACTTAATGGAAAAAGTAAATAATCTAGTACAAATATATTTATATATATATATATATTGATCGTCTACATATGCAACGCAGGTGACAACATTTCTTTTGTCGTTTCAAAGTGGGAGATATTTAGGGTAACTATAAATACAATATATATTTTTGACAAAACTATTTATGTAAAAACATACTTTCGTGGTGATTTGTTAAAGTCACTGTGATAGATAAGGGGGACGAGAAATTCAAAAATATTAATATTATTCAGCTACTAAAGATTAGAAACACAATAAATCATTCCCAAATACTTCTAAAATATTATTTAATATTAAAGTTGAATTTTTCGTTAATCAATAACTAAAACCTATTCCACAAATGGATTCATGGATACATTTATTGTAAATGTTTATTTAGATTTCCAAGCTATATTGGAATTAAACGATGACATGAAATTGAGTTATTGAAAATAATGAAACTAGTATTTGAAATGGATTATAGATTGCTGTCTTTCAAATTAAATCAAACTGGAGAATCTCTAGGCCATCAATACCATAAAAGAAAAGTTCTAAATAACGAATACTGGTACTGAGTACTATTACTTTGGTTTAAAATCTAGAAATGTACTTGCCTCTGCAGTAATTTTAATTAAAAATATATTATTATTCATTTCTGCTGTAGTGGATGTACTGTTTACCATAGACGTAACGAAAATAACAAAAACAACTAAATTTTTTTTTGAATTTAGCAGAAATAATTGATTGTTACATACTGAGTTCCGAAAATACCCCCCGACAAGTCTTTCTGCAAAAACATCTTAACAGAATATATGTTTATACTATATAGTATATAGAATATATCTAAATATAAAGTAATTAGTTTGAAATTCAGAAACGATTGTTAATATACTTCTTGCTCTCCAAATCTAAAATATTATGTTAATAACTATATCAGTTTATTTTTTACCTATAATGCGTTAGATTTTGGAATCCTTTTCGCGAACTTATATATACATAATTTTACTTATTATATATATATTATTTTCTAAATAAATGTCGCAGTTTAATATAATTTTTTTCTTGATGGAATATTATAACAACTGACTAGGCAAATATGTGGATTCTTTGTTAAACCATTTGGTCTTCTAGTTGAACTTAAGAAAATCCGATAAGTCAACCCTCGCTATATCTTCCGCATTGAGGAAGAAATAATCTATTAGATAATAAAGTTACTCAATCTGTAATCTTAAAGAAAAACTAATCGATTCCACACCATCATGGGAACACCACTCGTTGGAATACAATATCGCTTAGATATTGGCGCAATAGTACACTGCCCCATTAACAGTTTAGTAAGCACACAAACTGGAAGACACATAAATTAGTCAAACAGAAAGGAGGGACTCTATAGAAACTCCCTAGCTAAGAAAGAGTAAAAGTGCCCAGTTGCACTAACTCGAAAAACCTCAATATAAGACATAATTCAAACTGAAAGTTTGCTAAAGTCCAAAAAATCTCTAGTTCTTTTCTTATCTAATATAGGTTTCAGTGTTCTACCGATCTCATAGTTTTTGGTACAAGTCCATAACCTATTTATTATTGCAAATCTGAGTTTACTCTATTTATGTTACTAAACCATACAGACATCACAGTATGTATTGAAGTATCGGAATCAGTCATATCTAAGTAAAGCCTAGGAATTCTGTTTGTAGGATCCAGGAGTGGTGTAATATAATTGATCCTAAATCAAGATTGGATAAGCCACTGCAGTGTGGGTGAACGCAAATCAAGATTGATCAAACTGCTATTATACTTTTTAATCGAATTAGGATTTCTATTTGTAAGATCTAAAGTTTGTGTCATGTGATATGTAATTGACTCAAAATCAACATTGACCAAGTCGTGATCATTTTTTTAATCATATTTAAAATTTTAAAGTGTTTATAGTTAGCTGATTTTCACGACTTAGACACCGAAAGCGTTAAGTGATGCAATACTATTTAAGTATTCTTTAAATGCAATACTTATGGTTCGTAAAATATGCAGGCTAATCAGTCTCTGTACTTTTTCACTACACTACTAATTGCATTTTAGGTAATGGTGGATCCATATGATTAGAAGTATGTGTACTTGAATATATTAACTTGCTAACATTAGTACTGGAAACATGTGTAAATATTAAAAATAAATATTATATACTAGCAGGTAGTTTGTATTAATAATTTGTACTAATTAATCAGTAAATTAGTAAATAAAAATATTTATAAAGCCTATAAATATTTATTACATACATTTAGCTCAGACAGATTTCCATATAATGAAAAATTTATTTGCTAAACCAATAAACTGATTGATCTGATTTAATATTATCACATCATTTATAATTTTATATATTAATCTAAAAATTTCTGTTCTTAATTATTTAAATGATTAATTTTTTATGGTTTTTAATAACTTACCGTGGACAGGATATTGAGTATGCATAGAGTGACTTTCAATGTACCGGTTGCGCAACCCATTTTGTACTATAGTTTTGACTCCGTATACGAAACCTTAACACTTTACTTAATTTTATGTAAAATTATTTAACTTTTGGTCTGAAATGTGTTTCAAAATGCACCGAAGCACGACGAGATAAATTTTTAATAGATATTTCATATACACCACTTGAGTTAGAGAGCGCGTACTTTAGCCCGGAAACTTCAAAAACTAAAAGCTAAAATCTATAGACGCAAATAGATTGAATTTGAGTTCCAAACTGAAAACATGCACAACTTTTAATGGCCACGGTCACGAACAAACTAAATATCTTGACACCAACAAAGCAATATTTGCATTAGCTCAAAAAATATTGTGCGAGTGTAAAATTCATATAAGCAAAGCCAGGCAGATAGACTGACAAACAGACAGACAGACACACAGCCGCACAGCCAAGGCAGGCATATGTGTGTATCAAATCTATTTTGTATGAAACTACGTATTGTTTATTTTGCTGTATTTTTTTTTTTCATTTAGATTCTTTCTTTTTTTTTTTTTTTATAATTTTTTTCTAATAAGAAGTACAACGTATGAAATCATTTCGAAAGCAAAGCTGGAAAAAGTTCAGCACTCGTTCATACTCTGCCAGATGTTTTTGAAATTATTTCTAAGCGCATTACAATTAAATGATTACTTTGCCCATAAACAATCTAGCAATATAAATCTGATTTATAGTTTTGAGTGTGTGCGTTTGTGCTTGCGGTGTGCTCGTGTGCATGTGTGAGTGTTGAGTATTGTTGTTACAAATATGCCACAACGCGGGAAAAAAAGAAACCAGTATTTTTACGTTTGAAAAACCGCGAAACTATCGTTTAGAAAATGTGGGCTTGTATGCTTGTTAGGTTGTTAGGTTGTTAGATTGTTAGATTGTCAGTTTGTTTGTTTATGTCAACATTTAATTTAATATTTGTAGATTTGTATACTTACGTCATAATTACTCATAACTTTATGTCAGCGTCAGCGTCATCATCATCATCGCTTTTTACTCGTTAAATGTGTGGCCGAATATGCTAGCGTTCGTTGCGTGTCGCTGCTTCGTGTGGGTTTCATTGAGAAAAATCTTAACTACATAAATGTGAATATGCAAGAACGAGTAATTAAAAGCAACAACAATAATAAACCACAGCACATTAATAAAAAAAAAAAAACAATAGGGAATCAATAAAAGAACGAATTATGACTGACAACTGACGATTTCAAGTTGCTCGTTTCGGTTGTTTGAATGGTTGCGGTGGCAGGTTAGACGTTTTACTACCACTTTTCTCGCAAGAAACCTTAAGATATAAAAAGATAAAAACTAAACTCATCCCGTCGAATTTAGATCATTGAATAGATCTTTAATTCTAACCAAAGAACAAACTGTCAGCGTAGTGTTTCTTCAAAAATCTTTTGGACCTTCTGGATGCCCGTGGCGGGCAGACACAGCGGAAATGACTGATTGTTTCTACAAGTTTCCACAAGTTCTACAATGAGCATTAATACGCAGTTTCTCTACTTGTGTTTCTATACACCAGTGACAAGAGAGAACTGCAGGAAGACTTGTAGTATTCACGTGGTCCCTTTAAATAAGTTTTACAAAGCTTTGTATGAAAGCCTTGTCAATCTAGAAGTAACACATAAACTAAGTGTCTTCTTTTTTTTATGGGCAAGTTGAAGAAAGTAAAGATAAGTACGGTCTCTAAGCGAAAATAAGCTCATACCCATTTGAATACATCTAGGTACGCACTAAGGCGTGCCAAACCGTCTGATTATTTGTGTTCTTCAAGTCTACTATGTCCAGGAACCTAGATCAGAGTGATGTCAGCAAGTCGGTTATATGTAATATACAAATGTAGGTTTTGTTAGAGATAACATAACAAATTACTGGCTCTTGATAAAGTCTGGATTGACATAACTACTTCAAATGAACAAATATTGTATTTTGTAAAATAATAAGTATAGAATGCTTGTGCTTCTGAGAGTTAACGTAAATAGAACAGACTTAAGATCAAGATTTCAAGCAAGTTTTATATCAATACATTGTTTGAGATTTGTCATTAGGTATAAAATATAACGTCATTTTAATATTTATTACGCCAAAAACTAAATCACAGTAGTGTATGTTCTTGAGGTAATTTTCTCACTGGAAAAAGCTCAGTCATAATTTGATGGATATTCGTTTTTAAACTGTTGAGAGTTTGAAGACAGTCCACATAAATGCAAAGATTTATATAATCTAAGCATAAAAGTTTATTAATCATAAATCGCATGTACTTAATGGTCAATTGAGATCATCAAAACGTACGCTTACACATCCGGGAAGTTTTTTGCCCAACAAACCCAAAACATGACGTGGTGTGTGGCTTTTGGCGCCATGCTATTGAAACCAATACCTTCCAAATCCAAATATTCTATTTCACTTCGTAAAAAAATTGACTATCGTGTAACTGCTGCTCTTAAAATTGAAGGTTTAAATTATAACTTTGTCAATTTAAAAAATGTATGAGCCTTTCAAACCTTTAGCTCAAATGCAACGTTTACAATTTAAAATTTTTCAAGAACCGTTTCCCATTTAAAATTCATCATTTCCCAAGCATATTTGTGTCTTAACAATTTGGTGGCGTATGAGTAACACACGCATATTGATACTCATTTCTTCAATCTTTAATTTAAACTTAACGAAGAATTACATTTTTAATATTTAATATTATCAAATAATTAAGTAATTAAATAATTAAATTTTTTATATTAATTCAATTATCATAAATGAATTAACTTTATTTGTACATATATTTATAGTATTCATCGCATTAGAAATTAAGTTTCTTCGACTGCATTACGGCGATATTGTCTACAGAGAAGCACAACTAATATTACTGTACCTACAATCCACCCAATTGTCTAAGAAAGCAGAAGAGAAATTTATTTATTAGGAACTCAAATATAAATATTTAGCGAATATAGTTACGTTTGCTATTAAACTTAAATGTTCGGATAATAAAAGGTATTTAAAATATGATCTATATGTTTCATTGACTGCTTTTCGACACCCCGTTTCATAATGAGATGATTTTCCTTTCCCAGTTTGACATGATCCCGGTATTTCACGTAATATTTCAATGTAGTCATGTGGGCCATTTTTACCGCAACAATGAAACTGAAAGAAATTTATTTTATATTTAAGTTAATACTAAAAATTTATATATATGTATTTTGAAATCAATAAATATTATTAAAAAATATGTGACGTAATATCATACGTGATGGAATGTATAATCGTATATTATTGTTTTAGCAGAAAATAAGCAAATTCAATATCTTTTTTTATTTTATTTTTTTATTTTTTTATTTTTTTATCAAGATTTTTAATAATTGAAAAAGTTAAACGGTTTATACAATCTAGCACAGTTAGTAGTTCTGAAAAGATGAGTAATGTTCTTTTAAGTGTTTACTTTCCCAAATCAATTTTAATAAACCTATTAAATTGAAATAGAAGGTCTATGATATAACATAAAGTCATCTTAAGGATATGTCCTAACAAAAATATTATACTAACTGTAATAACTCCTTGGAGGTCACTTTGTAAGAATTATGATTGCTATATTTTTTTTACGAAAAAAGAAATATTTATTCTTTTCTTCTTTTTATAAAATATCCGAATTCAGTTTTCTGTGATAATCATTAGAAAATGAAAATATAACTAGGATAAATTCAAAATTATTGTATTTGCGGAATTAAAATAATTCGGTATTTCAATTTCTTTCAACAAATTACAAATAAATTTACATACATTCCACTGCATTTCATCCATATAACCATCAACTATTAACTGTGTATTCCACATGTCTTCTACGTGATTATAAGCAATCTTCTCAACTTCGTCCTCTTCACTGGCATAACAAATGCCAAGGACTTGTAAAATTAGTACCATTATTCCGAAAGTGCTAAACTAGAAATAAATCAAACTATTTGGTGATATTATAGTGAAAATATATAATATGATTAACTCACAGATATCAAAAAGTAAATGTGTTCTTGGAACATACCATAAGCTCCAATGGTTGTCATAACCAAAATAAAAAATCCCACAACATTTAAAAAATTGAGATAATTCTTTGGAGCTGAAAGTGCACATAAAATAGCCATCGACAATAAGCAAAATCCAGCTGTCTAGGATATATTGTAATTATATACTTATATATATATGCATATATATATATATACATGTGTGTGTATATATTGCATTTATAATTACTTACAGCCATTGAAATACATATTATGAAAATGAAAACCTTTTTAAGAACATACAGCAGCTTCATTTTACTGACTAGAAATAAAAAGAAATCATTTAAAATATAATTATATGTTGAAACAATAAATAAATATATAATAAAACAGTAAATTTAAATAAAAAATATTAAAATTGTCTTCACGGTGGTAAGAAGCATGTCTTTCTTAAGGATACATGTTTTAAGTGTAAATCAGTACCATAACAATAGACAAGCAAGGAGCTTCTGGTCCAGGCACCACCAGCAACAGGGTGCAAAATGAACACCAAGACATCATCGACAGATTTCGAAAATAATTTTGTTTTTAAGATATTTTTATCTTAAATTTAGACTTTTGGAATGTTGAAATTATAAATAATTATTCAGATTTTAGTTTTCAAAAGCAATACAATTCCAGAATATTTCAAAAAGGACTTAGTTAAAGGAATAAATTTTATGACGAGATTTCTTTAATATTCATATATTTATTGTGAAAGCTCACAAACAAATTAATAAATAAATATATAAACGAATTAACTAAAAAGTGTGATTAGTAATTTAATACTTAACTATTATCTCACATCTTCGTACGATGTATTATTCATTTTGTTCTAATAATCCGCTCGACTGAAATTAATTGATATTAATTCTTATTAAATTTTTCTAATTTGTCTCATATAATAAAATGTTGTTTTTGTTAACTTTTTCAATATATTTTGACACAATTTGCCCAGTTGATAAGATTTAAACAAAAACAAATATATGATACATATATTTTAAAACAAAAGATCTCATGTTATTTTCAAACATTTTACCAAATTTTACTTTTCATTTTTTGCATTATATTACATATCTTAATTTAATTTATAATTTATTCGATCACTTCATATAAACTCATCTTCTAACCATCAAAATAGCAAGACTGAACTATGTTTAGCTATGTTAAGTGTCTGTTACACTTAACAGTAATGTAACATTTCTAACCATCTGTCTACAGTTTTCTGTTAATTCGATTCAATACGAGTATTACGGTTCG